ATATATATATATATATATATATATACATACGTATAATACCAACGGTACACTCCAACCGTCAAATTATTATTTTCAACTGGTGCCGTCGTTCAATATGGCAAATAGACCCGAGGAATAATTAATTCCATGGTGATGCTGCCTTATGTAGAAATTAATTCGTATACACATTAGATATTCGCATACGTACATAGACGAGCCACACATCTGAAACACTGTGAATGGGATACAGTTACGATGTGCTGAGTGACCCATTTTAACAGTATGTCCCGTAGACGGCCGCCATGCTGCCGTAATTTCGTCCACAAATCGAGAGCTATTACGTTCGTGACCCCCGGAGGCTATAGTGTAATTAATATATGATCTCAGTACGGGACAGTTATAAATAGCGAAGAGCCTCAGAGATCGGATCAAAAGTGTGTCCACCGTAGGCAAACAAAAAGAAAAACACACCAACCGAAAAAAAATATTCTATTAAAGCAAACGCAAAGTGTAATAGAAATATCATTATAGAGCAATTGAGAATTAAAATAAAAAAAATTTACCCACGGCAACGCACATCCTTATGGTCAATTATGAAAGTCTATACTTGCACTGTACTGTCACGTGACCTCCAAGATTATATATACATATATATTACAGGTATGTAAGCATTTGCTATATAGAAGGTCCACGATATACGTATACTTTGCATACACAGCAATATATATTACATATGTAAGAATTATGTGTACATATACAGGAATGCCATTGGTTTATCGCTTGGCTAACGGTAGGTCCCAACCTCTGCGTCATACATTCTGGGAATACGTTAGGGCCCCGGCAATGCATGCATTGCTTGTTTCCTCGGATACCTAACCTGACTGGGAGCGTAGGAGGAGGAGGATGGTGAAGTAGTCACAATCGAGTATACATTGCTCCAGGTACTCTTACATTATGGTCAAAGGCTCGTAGCACTGTTACGGTTTGGTATTCAGATAAATTCCCAAGCGATAAGTGCAACCGAGCTCGTGCTGATTGCTGATTGAAAATTCAATGCTAGGATTTTACAGGTCATTTTCCCTTTTCTCATTAGACGCTTCGTGTATATATATATATATATAGCCAGAGAATACTCGTGCCTAACGGACTCGGTTCGTTAAATGATTCGACCAGGAATTCGAGCATAACAGAGGAAGGATCGAACCTGAAATACTTTCCATCTTAGACAAATAATGGCGATATGCCAAAGGAGTGACTTCCGGTAAGTCAGGAAGTGACAACCGATGATAAAGGCTGAGTAAGAGGATCGCTTTGAATTTTTTTCAAAAGCTTCTAGAAGGATGGCGACCGTAACGCGTCCGACTGAGGCGTATGACATATGAATGCATACGTGAGTGTGTGACAGTGCTCCGTAGGTATGCGGGAAGGTTATGGGACGTCTAAAGTGACCTTGACCCGAGAGGTGTAATCAAGAGGCTGACCTAGCCTGACACACATTCCAGATCTACTGGCTGGCTTGGTCTCGTGTGACCTTCCGACCTGCGACCTTCGAAACGAACCTACGGCTAGCGAAGGAGACGTCACTCGAAGGTTCCCAACCTATTCGGACGTTCTTGCGCGTCGTACGGTATCGTGGAACGGACGGACTTTGGCGGGAAGTTTGAAAATCGTGTAACGGTCACGCTGCGGAGAGTCAATCGATCCTCGGTTTTCGGGTCCATAACGAATCTGCGGTTAATTAAATTTTTCTTCGACTACCAAAACTCAACGTCGGTTCTGTATCTACGTCTCTTTCTGATACTATCTCTGAGTGGGTTGCATTTTTTTTTTTTACGGTATACATTTTACACTTGGTACGCGATATAGGTATACCTGCTGTTACCCATGATGCAACAGTAGGTCACTGAGTCAATTTTTTCGTATGCCATTGGTCCTACCCTACATTTTTATTGTGTGTTGGGTATACAAGATAAAATTATATATGGCATATGGGTATGTATATACGTTACGTTTAGTTACCCAGCGTTTTTTTATATCTAGAAAACACAGTAGAGAATTTTGGGTGGATATGAGTTTTCGAGAAAAACATTTTGAATCCCCTGTCAAGTCGGGGTTTCCTGGTACTCGTGTTAACAGAGTAGGGTTAACAGCAATGACTGGGAATGTCAAAGATAAATAATCAGGAGACCATACACCCGATGTTAACTACTGTGTGTGTGTGTATATATATATATCGTACACGAGGTGTAGTATTACTACAGCGCCAAAGCGGAGGAAGTTGGAAGCGACACGTAAGAAACTTAAAAATGTAGCTCGGGCAGCATATCCTAAAAGGAGCAATCCGAAGGGCCTCTATTAAATGTAGATTACGTTACGAGTTGCTTGGAGGACGTGAGCCGAGTCGTTGCGGAGTAATTTAAATGGCGTCCTGACAGCTAACAATTTTTCTCCCTTCGACGGTTGGTGGATGTTTATGAGATAAATAAATAAAAATCCTATCTATTGTCTATTTATTATAACACTGGCCCGATTCAACGCATTTACTACGGTATACTTCTGATCGAAATTGGCAATATGGCCACGTGTTAGAAATGTCAACTGAATTATTGTCAACACCCACGTGGACGGTCGTAACTTCTCTACTGTCACGTTCAATCAAATTTTGATTGATTCGATAATTAATAATCCGGACCAATATCATATTGAAATTTATCAGAACGGCTATCGATGACAATCCCACGACTATTATCCAATATCTTATTGATATCTGGGATCAGGGACAAATCAGCTGTCAGACTACGACAGTTCGTGCGAATTATTTTTTTATTATGTAAGAGAAAATAACGAATTCCGAGTCAAGCGACCTTCGACGTACATAGAAACAGTTTGGTGTCTGTGTTAGTCACGTTTAGTGTACTGATCAATGATTTCCAGAAATTGACAAGCCTGTCACTGGTGAAAGGACTGACATTTTGATAATAATAGTGTAAAATCGATATCGGATCTGATAGCAAAATTGAAATTGAGAACGTTTTAAGATTTTGTTTCTTAATTAATTATTGTATAGCTCTGCGTGGGGTATTGACGTAATTCTCTTTGTATAGTAGGTACAGGTACTGATTGTTACTCACTTGGAATTTTGTGGTTCGATGTCTATATATATATATATATATATATATATTTATGGTATACGTATTAGGCTCGATGACTTTTGCTTACCTGGAACAGAAAAGAATGGCCAAGGTTAGTAAGGTAGATGGTAATCAAGTAAATTGATATTTTTGCGTCAGGAATTCTTTTGTCGTTTCTAGAGAATCAGGCTGAGAGTATTGTTGTATGGGATATATAGAGCGATTTTATGTTTGATAGAGGTCATTTATCAGAGTGATATGGATGTTTAATATAGATATATATGGATGTCCATGGAGAATCGCGTGCGTATGGTTATATACTGTTTGACTCGAAGGAGGGACCCCGTAGCGGTTAGCGATGGCAGACCATCACAAGAAGCCCCTTGGGGCACCTGATGAAACAAAGAAAAGAAAAGAAAAAAATAAAAACGAGGAAAAAGAAAAGAGGAGAAAAAACTTTCGTAGCCAGACAGCGCCGTGTCCAACAGACCGAAAAGAAGCATGGACGCGCCAAGGATGTCTCGTAACGGCGTCGAGAAAGACGAGAAAAGTATGAAAAAAAAAAGAAAGGATCAAAAAGAAAGGACGAAATGGAACAAACTCGAAAAAAGAGGATGCAGAACTGATTGATACCTACGAGAGAAGGAAGGGTCCTAACCTTCAGAAGACATACCCCCGAGGAAGGACGTTCGAAAGTGCCAATAATTTTCTGACATAAACGACGAAACGCCATCTTTCACGCGAGCCGTAAAGTTTCGGGCGAAGGAATTTCACGGGGTTTTCGAAAAATGTCCGTAACTGGCCATCTGTCTGTAGCCCGGGGCCAAGCTATAAAAGACTACCGGGACAAAGTATTGTGCGAAAGAGCTAGAAAATTCGAGAATCTAACCTTAAAGTTTGTGTCCGTATTCGTAAGTTAGGTTAGGTTATGTTTGGCGAAGAGATATCTCACGAAGGATACCACAGGGTGAGCTAGAAAGTCTAAGGAGCATGAAGGATCTTCCTGCGAGTATAAAACGATACACGGAATATCGAGCCGCCATCAATAGCTACACGGCACATAATTTACGAGCTCGATCGAAGCGGACAGTCGTTAAGCGAAACGATTCCGTCGGGGAGTTCCAGTGGAGGTTATTGCATCGCCACGCTTCTCCATGATCGGAAGCTTAATTTATGCGTGCTAGGATGTATCCAGTGGTGATAGTGTGCTTATACGTATATATAATATATCAGAGAGAATACCCACATGACACATGAGTATACTGAGGAAAGGTTATGTATTCTGAATATGGGTGGGTGGAAATCAGGAATGGTCCTGAAAACCAGTTAGATATTGGTGTATACAGTGAGTATATGTTTCAAGTAGAGAAATTGTAGCTAGTCGATAGGCTGCGTAGCAGTTGGTTATGTATCTGACAGCTACGCAGGAGTGTCCACCAGGCACTGCGTAAAGTAAAATAGTCCACAAGTGGCTTACGCAGACTCTTATGGTGTAGCTGGATGGGATAGATCAGCAAAGTAGCAGTGAAGTGGCGACTGAAAAATCGCCTACATAATTATTCGCCATGAAGGCCATCCTGTGCGTTATAGGCTATGTGTTAGTGCCAGTGCGTGAGAGTGAACTTGTATGTGAATACTATACTGAGAGACTCAAGATGGGGAACGTAGTTGGACCTGTTCTGGATACTGGTCTTAGCGAAATAACCCCAAGATTCCAATGAGTATTCAGGATTTTTGTGTATCGTCATGGTAGTTTTGAATACTCAGCATCAGGTTGCGTAGAGAGAATCACTTAAATTATAAAACTATGTGGACCGCTGTAAAGAGAGTCCATTTAAATTGTTAAACTATCAATTACAACTGCCATTAATGTAAATTTTGAAAGCACAATTTAACTTGTATCAAAGTTCCAATTGGTTTTACAATGTCTACCTCACAGGCTTTTATTTCAGGTTGATCAAGAGTTCATGGTGTACTAACGATAGCAACAGGATGGTGCATAGTATAGGCACAGGTTCTTACTAGATTGTACCTGCATTGGCAATTGGTACAGGGATGCTGAGCAGAGATCAGTGAGAGAAGCCAAGGTCTACGCGAGCGATGCAAACTCGCACATACGTTCACGCCGGTCATTCAGAACCGGCGGCAGAGAAAAAAAGGTCTTATCCTCAATGGAGAATGAGCGTATACATATGTAGTGTGCGAGAACTGGAAATAGGTACTGGACCCAGCATCCTCTAGGTCTCCACAGTCTCCTTGATCTCAACATAAGAAAATATAAGTAATACCTGTATACTGCAAAATATTCCAGGCTTCCCAAAAGCTTCAAAAATGAATAAAGAAAATGATTCGTTCTTTTTGTCATATCTTTGGAATTTTTTTTAAAACTCTTTCCTACGGAATTTTCCACAGCTCCTATGACCCATCCACTTCTGTTTTGTGAACCCACCTTAATCGAGAGCCCAAGGCACTGGATAGAGAACGTGTTACCGGTAGTAACATGAGAGACAACCTGACAGCTGGACGTGACGGGATGACGTCGTGTAACGGTTCGAGAGAGATGGGGTAAAAAGAGTGAACGGAAGAGAAAGAGAGAGAAGAGGAGGAATAAAGAAATGAAAAAGGAGACAACGAATATGAAAGGTGGGGACCCAAAAAAAAAAATGAACAAAGATTTCAGCGTCTAAACGACGCGTAGGCTTCGATGATAGAAATATATCATAGACTTCTATATGGTTCTTTAATTCGAATTATCAGGAAGTTCCTGAATTACTGATATTCGCAGCCAATATTTTTCCCACCCTCGTGAAATTAATCGGCGCTTACAAAATCCGAGGAGAATCCATTGAAACATTTGTAAATTTTTACGTTACGCGTCAAAGAGAACCGGGCGCCTCCCCCCTTCATATTTACGTCTACGTTTTCACTGGTATAAATATATTGATATTCTATAATACACAAGTATAGTAAATAACAGACGTAGAAAGTGTTATGAATAATACGTGTCATAAATACATATACATATTTATACACATGAACGAAGAAAGAAATCGATTAAATCAGACGCCAGGCGTCACGTCGTCGCGTCCGTAAAGATCTACACGAGAAAGTCCCTTTCCTTTAATTACAAAGCTAATGAGAAGTGTCAACCGACACAATAATAGAAATCGCCTATTTTTTTTTTTTTTTTTTTTTTTTAAAAA